GTTTCCCAACGGATAGGTCTTAAGATGAACATGGACAAAACAAAGATCATATTTAATGTCCATGTCACACCTATGCCGGTAGTTGTTGGGAGCACTAAGCTCGAAGTTGTTGACGAGTATGTTTACCTGGGACAAATAGTCCGACTAGGTAAGTCCAACTTCGACCGAGAGGTCAATCGACGGATTCAACTCGGTTGGGCAGCGTCCGGGAAATTACGGCACATCTTCTCGTCAGGTATACCTTAAAACTTGAAAACAAGACTGTACAACCAGTGCGTGTTGCCGGTGAATACCTATGGTACTGAGACGTAGTCCTTCACTGCTGGCCGGATGAGGAAGCTCAAGGTCGCTCAGCGAGCTATGGCTATTTTTGAGTTTCTCTGCGTGATAAACTTAAAAATGAGGATATCCGCAGTAGAACCAGAGTGACCGACATAGCCCAACGGATTAGTAAGCTGAAGTGGCAATGGGCCGGCCATATAGCTCGAAGAACCGACAACCGTTGGGGAAAAAAGGTTCTCGAGTGGCGGCCTCGTACCCGCGGACGAAGTGTAGGGCGTCCCTCAACTAGATGGAGTGACGACCTGGTAAGATATGCAGGAAGTCGATGGATGCAGGTGGCTCAGGACCGTGCTTTATGGCATTCCTTGGGGGAGGCCTATGTTCAACAGTGGACTTGTGAAGGGCTGTAATGATGATGATGAATGATTTGCCAGTGAGAGTCCCGTCGAAGTCGGTCCAGTCGTTTCTGAGATTAGCCGGAACAAGCAGACAGACAGACAGACAAAAACTTTAAAATTTGTATTTTTGTTATAAGTACCGTATATAATTTCATATGCATTTAGTAAAAAATTGTTATTTTGACATTACAAACAGACATTTCAATTTTATTTATTTGTATAGATTATGGTTATTTTGAAAACTCTCTTAACTGGTGCAATCTATCTCAGACAAAATTACATAATGTAAACAATATACTTTACTCAATGATATTTTTTTATATACATATGTACATATTATTAATTTTGCATTGAGTTTCATAATATTAAACTTTGTATCGTGCAGTATCTTTTTATATGTTCAAGGAAGATTATATTAGATTATATTATAATTTATGCAAGGCATTAAATTACAACACAGAAGATGTAAGTAATATATGACTGTAATTATTTTATGCATCGCAAATCTAGCTTAAGATAATTTATGATTTACATTAATAAGAATCATAGCTATTATAGGTGAAGTACTTATCCTTTAATATTTCTGATGGGCACGCATAACATTATTACTAACTACCTGTTCCCCGCGACTTCGCTCCCGTGGAAGTTACGAGTTCTTTTGTGCGTAACCCTAATTCTTTTTCTATAATTAAAGTAGTTTAAGTTACCTACTCCTTATAACATTAGCTATATGCCAGTGAAAATCCCGTCAACATCGGTCCAGCCATTTCGGAGTTTAGCCGGAACAAACAGACAGATAAAAATTTTAAAAATCGTTTTGTTGTCATAAGTACCTACCGTTTATACTTTTATATGAATTTAGTAAAAAGCTGTTATTTTGACATTACAAACAGACACTTCAATTTTATTTATAGCAAATAGTATAACAATATAACTAGGTCACGATAGTCAATTCTTGAAGTGGAATATTCCAAAGTCAATCTTAAAATAATACACGTAATATTTACAATTACTGTAATTTTCAAGCAGTAGTGTAGTTATATGTGGGTATGATAATTTATCCAAGTATAGTAATAATTAACTGTGTAGTGGCGGTGTTTAATGTCCACTATTCCAAGTCATCCCTTGGGTGTCTTGTATAAGAGGCGATAGAGGGAAACTGAAACGGGAGATGGGCAGCAGCATCTTCATGATAACGACCTAACTATACTAAAAAAGAGGTGGTTGCCAATCCGCCTGCCAAGTTTGGCAACTGTTGAAAATATGAGGCAGTATATGGGGGAGCCTATGTTCGGCAGTGGACTTTGATAGGCTGTTATGGATGGATGGATTAGTAATGTGTGATGATTAGTGTATCCACACCAATCGATCGATCGTCGATCGATGTCGATCGATTGGTGTAGTAGCTTTAGCTGATTGAAGGATACTGGTTGATAAAACGATGTTCAATCATCGATCGACGTCGATCGACAATCGTCGCTCATTCAAAGTAAGTTTAGAACAGGACAATAGGGGGCGGGTTGTCTAATAATCAAGCAGCTCGATCGTTGTCGACTAATCTATTCTACCATCGATCGATGCCATCGATCGATCGGTGTGGTAGAAAGTATCGATTGGTGTTGACTAATCCATTCCACCATCGAATGACACACCAATCGATCGACTATCGATCGATTGGTGGGGTAAGACCCTTATATAGCTTAACAAGTTTAACATACATTTTGTGTAAAGCGAACAGGTTCTGATTAAGAATTATAATTCTTTCTTTTAAACAAACATTCAAATATAATTATATATTTTATTATAATTATATTTGAATGTTTGTCTTAGCAGAGGAGGACAGGAGCTTTGCTCTTGCTTATTTCTTCTGCTACTAAACACAACACATCTGTACGTCACAGATGTTTCGTAGTCTCCGACCTCTTTCCTTCTTCTGATCTTCTGTTTTAAGTTGGTTGTATTTTGAATAAAACTACTTTTACGGCTTTTATCGCGTTTAATTAATTATACTTATTTTTAAACAGCTGTTCCCCGCGACTTCGCTCGGGTGTAATTTAAGGTTTTTTTTTTGCGCGGAAGCCTAATTATTTTTCTAAAATAAAAGTAGCCTAAGATATTTTTTATGACATCAGCTATCTGCCAGTGAAAACCCCGTCAAAATCGGTCAAGCCGTTTCGGAGATAAGCCGAAACAAACTGACAGACCGACAAAAATTTTAAATATTGTATTTATGTTATAAGTACCGTACATACTTTCATATGAATTTAGTAAAGTTTAGTATATACGTGGTAGAGCCATGCTGCAGCTACATTAATAGTATAGTTGTAGCACGAATGGCTAGGCTCGACCGGGGAAGGACCACGCTCTCACAGAATACCAGTGTAAGATAGCAGCTTAACACTGCTGTGTTTCGTATTTTGAGTGTACAGAACCGGAGACCCTTTTTACTGGAAAAGGGGCATTCCATCTTAGTCCTCACGGGTGACAACGCATCTGCATTTTGTTTCGTAACCGAGGATAGATGTAGATGTCTATGGGCCACAGCAACCACTTACCATCAGATGGACTGTGTGCTCATTTGTCACTCTTATCCTATAAAAAAAGAAAAAATTATTATAAACTTATGAACTAGCGATCCGCCCAGGCCTCGCATGGGTAATTTCTGGATTTCAACAACAGCGCCATCTACCGGGTCCAATTGTGAATCGTTTAGATCATACAGGGACTCACTCAAACACACATGAAAAATTCATCAAAATCGGTCGAGCTGTTTTTTACGAGGTTTTGCGAGACTAACGTACAGAAATGATTTTATATATACTCAGAGATTAAAATGTATGTAAATATTGTTGTGGGCGAAGCTTAAGGTAATTTTAGGCCATATATCCTAAAATTTGTGCTAAACGAGCACTTCTATAAGAGCAACAGACTTCGGCCTTGGATTGTCACCACCCACTGGGCAAACATAAACCATTTACATATGACCTCTCTGGTAATCCGATTTTACGTCTAGTGGTGAAAATCTTTGTACTTATACTTTGCTAACATAGTTTCTCCTCATATTTTATTTCTTTACTATCTTCTTAGACGTCATCCAGCTGAGTAGCTTAGACTTCCTTATTGCTTATTATTGATTTGCATTAAGAAAGTTTGGATTAAATATTTTTTATAGAATTGGGTGACAAACGAGCACACAGCCCACCTAATGGTAATACAATATGTAGATGCATTGTCAGATGAGGGCTAAGATGGAATGCCTCGTTTCCGTTTTCGTTCTCTACACTCAGCCGTTCGTGCTACTATCATAATATGACTGTGTGGCTCTACCACGTATAAAGTTTTATTTAAAAATTACTTAATGTCAAATTCTACAAAAGAAAAACGTTTTTAATTTCGTATAAATACCGAAGAGTTCAGCAAACAACCAATAACATTTTTAGTTATTGTTAATAATTTTTAGGTTTCTCCCAACATAATCAATAGGATTAAAGTTTTACTGCGACATTAAAATATAAAAAAGTAGGTATTTGTTGAAGTTGTACCGTGTAGTGGTAGGAATATCCACTTATTGGAAACGCGACAATGGGAAACAACCCAGGTGATGTGCAGCACAATCTTTCAAAAAACAACAATAAAGAAAACAACAATACTAAAACTGCGGTATACAACCCGCTTGCCAAGCGTGGTAACTATGTCATAATGGCAAAAGATGCTAAGAAACGGCCTCCAGTGAAAACAACAACTCAAAATATTAAAAAATCGCAGTTGCCAACCCCCTTCCAACGTTGCAACTATGACAAAAAATCCTTATGAGGCAATCTATGGCGTAGGCCTAGGCATTTGGCATTTTCAGCAGTGGAATTTTAATAGGCTGTTATAGTATTACCATACCATAAAAATGTAGTGTACTTAATAAAAAGTCATCCGTTCAATCTATTTTAAAAAAGGCGCTATCTTCCGGGAAATAAGAAATATATGATACAATTACCAGTGTAGTAATATATGTTAACAAAGTTGTATAATATGTAAATGTGTGAATTCATTACCTAATGTATGGAATTGCGTTAAAGTATAATCAGCCATTATTTGTTAACGTCTAATAATAGACGAGTAACGCAGTGCCTCACCGTTTATCTGTGGAGCTACCTGCATGATTCTATTGATAACTGTTTATTGATGATAATGGCAAGTTTTTCCAAACTTTCCAGAATTTTTTCACACACTAATATTTCCATTTAAAACGTTTGGAGTCGACGTCTCCGCGACTCAGTAATTCCTCTTTTGCCAATGTCATAATCCTGTATATTATTCATATTTCAGGTGCGGTAGAAATATGTTACATGCCAGCCCCGGTAGGCGATTGCAGTAACTGCTGTCCAAGAGATGATAGTGTGGACATTCAGTACAAGCTTTTTACAAGGTACAAAGTATATAGCACAGTATACAGTAAATAGAAATGTAAAATTACTTTTTTTTTTAATTTGCTAAACAAATTTGAAACAGTACGAGTATGAAAGCATTATATATATGTATGTTGTAGATACTATTTTAATGTGTGCTTATGACTCAGATTCAAAACCTTTTATAATATACTATCGATCTGCCCTGGCTTCGCACGGGTGATTTCTGAATCTTTATTTTGAACTACAAATTTTAAGTCAAAGATGCGATAAGTTAGCTAAAGAGTGTTATAATAATTATATTGTTAACATAGAGAAAACGTTTAGGCAAAATTCAAAATACTTTAGGTCATTTATCAGAAACAAAAGTGGAGGGTCTTGTGCTTATGTCAGGTCCGTGACAGATATTATTACTATCGTAAACAATGGCCACAGCATTTGTGAATTGTTTGCTGCGACTTTTTCAAAGGTTTATGGTGATAATCCAAAAAAAGACCCCATTCTGAATTTGAAAGTCTTAGAATCATTGATAATGGGAGTTCATGTTTTTCCAGTCTTACCGTTGATTTCAATGTTATTGTTAAGAAACTCAAAACTTTAGATATTACTAAAGGTACTGGTTTCGATGGATTGGCGCCAATATTTCTTAAAAAATGTGCTGATAGTTTAGCATTTCCTTTGTGTAAAATTATAAATAAGTCATTTATTACAGGAGTCTTTCCAGATCAGTGGAAGCTTGCAAAGGTAGTACCAGTCTTTAAATCAGGTGATATTAATATAATTTAGAATTATCGATCAATCTCGTTACTCTCTACATTAGTCAAGCTTCTTGAATCAATTGTTTGTCCTTTCATTCAAACCTATTTCCGATAATTTATAACTGATTGTCAGCACGGTTTCGTGAAAAATAGATCAACTTTAACTAATCTTGTAACTTTTGTTGAAGATCTTGTAGGTGCTATTGACAATAGAAATCAAATTGATGTTATCTATACCGATTTTAGCAAGACCTTTTACAAAGTTTCACATTCAAATTCGGTAACAAAATTAAACTCCTATGGATTCACAAGAATTATTTGGGATTGGTTTAAGTCTTATTTAAGTATTCGTACCTACTATGTAGTTTTGGATGGGTTTCACTCTGATACTTACGATATAACATCTAGTGTGCCGCAAGGATCATATCTTGGGCCCATTCTTTTTAACATCTTTATTAACGATAGAACTGATAGTTTTATCTACTATAAACCTTAACTGTATGCAGACGACTTAAAGTTTTCTCGTAAAATTGATGATAATTCCCACACAGTACTATTGCAATCACATTTAAATAAGCTGTCACACTCGTGTTAAGAAAACTCAATGAACCTAAATGTAAATAAATGTTTCCATATTAAATTTTGTCGAAATCATAACTATATAGTAGATGATACTATTTTAAGTGAAGTAGATACTGTTTTAGACTTAGGGGTAATGTTTGATTGCAAATTGACATTTATTTCACATTATGATCATATTGTTAAGAAACAATCGAAAATGCTAGGATTTATTATAAGAAAAGGTAAAATTTTTCGTAGTTATCAAATAAATTATATAATGCCTTCATTCGTAGCACTCTTGAGTATTGTAACGTAGTGTGGAGAACACACTATGCTACCCATTATTTGCAACTGGAAAGGATACAGAAGAGATTTCTTTGACACCTGACGTACTCTTCTGGAATGGAAATAAGGGGCTTCTCTTACTCTTACATCTATAGACTAAAACATTTTAATATGGACTCTCTTGAAAAACGCAGAACTATTATCGACCTAACTTTTATTTTCAAAATTTTTAGAAGTCAAATAGACCGTCACAAACTTCTAAGTTACTTTAAATTTAGGGTGCCAAGGACCCATTCTTCCACTTGCCCCTCCATTTCGTAGGACTGTGCTTGGCAACAACTCTTCTGTAGCTAGGTTAAGTAAACTTTATAATGGGTTCAGTAGCCGGACTGATATAAACCGGTACAAGTTTCGCAAGTAGTTGTTAGATACAATTTCAAATTAAGTTATTTTTTTTTGTATATTTATTACTATCACTGATTGTTTTATTTTAAAATGTTTTAATATATTTTTTTAACATAATATGTAAATTATGATTTTAATTAGGAAAAAGTAATTGTGCAATTAGTATAAGACTTTATTATGCATTTAGATTTAGTATGTTAAATTGTAACAATTGTAGGTAGACCTTTTTTTACATAAATAAAATTAAAAAATCTCTACAATAGTGGTTCTATTGTGTTCATTTGTGATCTACCGGGTTCAATTGTGAACTTAAACTATTCTCGAATCAACTTAAATATAAAGATATCATTGATTCATCATCACATTAAGTTTTGTAGATTTCAGTTTTTATTTATTCTTTGTTGTAGTTTTTATTTATATTTATTTAACCTTAAACAAAAAATCTATATTTAATTCCTAAGTATTTTTCAATGTCATTTAAATTATATATTACATAATATAATATACATCTATCCTCGTTTGCGAATCAAAATGCAAATGCGTTGTCACCGGTGAAGACTAAGATGGAATGCCTTTTTGCCAGTAAAAAGGGTATCCATTCTCTACACTCACCATACGAAACACAGCAGTGTTAAGCTGCTATTTTACGCTGGTATTCTGTGAGAGCGTGTCCTACCCTGGTCGAGCTGACCCATTCGTGTTACAACTATACTACTAATATAACTATACTAATATAACTATACTACTAACTAACATATTTTGTAACATGTTATAACAGAACTTATGTTATTGTATTGTAGGTCACATCCAACGACGTTTCAAACGGTTCCTTCGAATAATTTCGCCGTTTTGGCTAGAACAGACTTTAATACGTCAAAACCTACGGTCATCTACATCATGGGTTTCTCAGAAGTCATCACCGGACCCAGCACTACGACTTTAAAAAGAGGTGAGTGTTATAAAAATATTCCACTTATACATATTCCTAATAATAATAAATGACCAGACTAGCCACCTGCGCAGGGCAGGATTATACTGCCCGAAGCTCTCTATTCCTCACTCTCACTATTTCGAGCACCTCACCCCCACTATTTCGGGAAACATACACGACCGAAGAGAGATAAGATGCAGGACCAATAGCTTTATGTGCTTTCCGAGGCACGGGGGTGAAACACCGTCAACTTCCTGGCTCCGGGCTGCAACTGAGAATTTCTCGACAGAGAACTCAATAATTGATTTTAGTGTCTATTATACCATCTAAATACGTTCCAGCTCTAGGTAGTACCAAATTGCGAGTAAAACAAGGTTGGTTTTTAGTGACCATACACACAAGTGGTAAAATTAAAATTTTTGTATGTACAACCGACTTTAATATAGATAAAATAAGAACATCATCAATGTAGCCGAAGTAATTGACTTAAACTGAAAGTACGCATTCTTAAGGATAACTCAAAAACTACTGGTCCGATCTTGATCAAACTTATATGGGGATATATAAAAAGCACCAGCTTTGAAATAAAACTCATCAAAATAGGTTCACCTAGAAAAAAGTTCTGAGGTAACACATATAAGAAAACATAATGAAACACATAGAATAGATTTGAGAACCTCCTCCTTTTTTAGAATTCGGTTAAAGCGACAAACATGCTTACAATTTCACTCGTAAACAGTTACCATTAGAGTCCAAAATAAAAAAATATAATTTTAGGGAATTCGAAATAAGATTGAAATTACGTGAATAGAAAATGGATTAATGCTATTTGAAACTAGTAGACGGCCTAAACTACCTATTTATTGTTATAATCAATTAGAGTAACATAAAAACAACAATTTAAAATTAATACCGTTGTTTTGGATAATATCCTGAGTTTTGCAAGTCGTCGATTTCTTTTAGGCTTTGCTAAGCGCGCACTCAGCACGACGTCGAAGTTAGCTCTATAAGTACCGACATTGTCTTAGCTCGAATGTAGAGTATGAGCATAATCAAAGTACGGTCTATAGATCGCAGCCTAAGACGGTATGCCTCATAGCCTGTAATTAGACTGCATGACGCATATAAATTTAAATGACTACTATAATATCTTCTTCTTATTCTTTACTTTTTGGACTACTATGATATATACGTGATATTTTGTTCGAGAACTTGTTGTCATCTTGTAGGTAGTGACATTATCCCGTTGCTGTAGACATCTTGGGATTTTTGATTAAAAAAAGCGACTAGTAGTTTTGACAGCACTGTCTTGATGTTAACCTAACATTACCCCAAATAATTCTGAAGAGATCTAAACAGATAAAAATCTGAGGGTGCAAAGTCAGGAGTATATGGTGGATGCATTACTCGTAACACTTCCCTACCAAGCTCTCTCAATTTTTGCTTAGTGGCCAAAGAAGTGTGTAGTCTGCCGTTATCATAATTAAAGACCACTCATTTTCTGTTGATCAATTCCGTCCGTTTTTTTCTCAATTTCTTGCTTGAGTCTCAGTAGTTGTTTGCAGTAGAGATCCGAATCGATGGTTTTGCCCGGCGCTAAAAGCTCATAATAAACGATGCCCTTCCAATGCCACCATACACACAGCATCACCTTATTGCATGTTACCCTTTGACCATGATCTTTTTCGCACGTTCTTGTCGTAAATGATCCACTTTTCATCACCAGTGATCAATCTTTTCAAAAATGCTTCAGTTTCATGACGTTTCAATAGAGAATCGCAAATGACTACACGATTCATTAGGTTTCTTTCAGTGAGCTCGTGTGATACCGAGCTCACTGAAAGAAACCTAACCTAAATATCGAGCTTTTATGATGTATAGCCAGACTTTTCCAAATAGGTCAAAATTGTTTTGTGGTTAATTCCCAATTCTTCGGCTGTCGTAACTACTAATATGCCGATCTTGCTCTCTCTCACTCTTACTGACACTGTATTAGGTCCATAAATGTTACAATTTTTTTCTACCGGTATGAGACTGCCACTCGAGAACAATTTTCCCCCATCGGTTGCTTCGTTGTTGTTGTTGTTATTGTTTTCTATAGACACCTTCATCTGTCTTCGATTAAGACTGAAATTGCATATGTGTTGTCAATTTTGAGAACTAAGTTGGATTTGCCTCGTTTCCTCTGGCTCTCGTCACTCAATTCTTTTTAAGTTCTACCCTCTGTTTCTAATAATACTATATATGTTTTGATTTCAGAGTATCTGACCGTCAGCGATTGTAATTTCATATCTGTGGACTGGTCACGTCTCATTGCTTTCCCATGGTAAGTCCAAACACATTAATTGCTTGACTTCTAGTCAGGTTAAGTTTAGTTGAGTTCTACCGTTGATCCAACGTAGATCGAAACGCTTCAGTGACAAATAGCCCGGGCCTACCAATAATTTTAAATACGAACGGATGAACAATTATTGGTCGTAAGTCGTCGCGGTTCAAGACTTCATAATACAATATTATAAATATTACAATTTAACGCTACACATTAGTTCTTTACGTTCATTCTTCAATATAGAAAATTTGTTTCATCCTTATGTTCTTAAATTGTATGCAAATATAAAACGATTAAAAGCAAGATTTTCGTTATTGATTTCATTTTAATCAATATATTCATCACCCAAGAACTCCTGCCGCATCCAAGGTCAGGATCTTGGGTAGACAAGTTGTGTTAGTCCTCATGTTTTCGACACTCCACGGCAACCTTCATCTTATTCCTTAAACGCATATCGGGTCGTCTATAGCTGGGAATGGGTTTGCCTTAATCGTCATGCTTGGCAGATGGATTGGCAATCACAATGCCAGACGTCTTACACCATTAACTTTGTCGCGCGTCTAGATATTTAACGTCTGAAGTTAATGAGATGGTTATATGTATATTACCGTCAACTTTCAATAGCCATGAGATCTTTCTCAGGATTCCCATAGTCACCTCTTACGCCATCCACAGTACGTAATAGTGTAATGGATAAGAGAATAAAAAAGTAAATATAAAACTATTACTTATCAGTTGCTCTATAACAAAAGAGCCCCATTCGATAATTAACATACAAGATACACTTTTTAGAATATACGCATGCCCGCCTCTCCCCATATTATCGCCAAGTAATGTCCTCCAGACCGAATATGTGCTCCAGGCGCAGTGTGTACACAAACATAGGTACTGTCTATTTCCTAACTACCATAGTCCGATAGGATGGCATTCTGTCTTGACTGGAGAGAGATCGGCGAGGACGCGCAACGGATTTACGTGCTTTCCCCCGGATCGGGGGTGCAACATCGCAATTTCCAAACTGCATCTGAGAATTTATTTACAGAAAGACCCAATAACTGATTCGAACCCGCTACCACATGAATAACAAAAAATGACTGCGGTGGTCAACAACCCAGGCTGTAGCGGTACGGCAGACCTAAAATAATCAAACCGGTGCCGGAGTATAGCGCCACAGGTGCGCGACGTCTGGCTCTCTACTGTCCACGATTCAGGCAAATCCTCCCTAAAGTCCCACGTCAACAAACAACAACAACAACAACAAAACAACAGTGGACTTTACGGGCTTTGTGTTTCCAATCTGTATTAAAATATTTTATATTATAATCTTCCCCTAAGTTTAAATAAATAATATTTCGTTTTGCTTGTTGTTGAGGTCAATCAAAGACACAACATTCACTGCCTTTTTGTTTTTACTAGCTGCCCGGGGCATATACAGTGCCACAGGTGTTCCTTTGCCCGATAAAAGGTTAAAGTTTTTGTGTTAAAACAAATTTAGATTCAGAGCTTTATGCATAGATTAAAAATGTATGAGAAGTAAGTGTGTGTTGGCGACGAATCGTGGACGGGGATATTCATTACAGTCTATCAAACGTCTGCGGCTGAACATAGGGCTCCGCCATAAATTGTCTTATAAATATTCTCCATATTTGTCATAGTTGCAATGCTTGTTAGACGTTTTTCAGACGATCAATTTTTTATTATAAACTAGCAATCCGCCCCGGCTTCGCATGTTTGTTTCTGGATCTAGACAACAACGCCACCTACCGGTTCGTATTGTGAATCTAAACCATTCTCTAATCAATTTAATCACCAGCCGTTTTGGAGGAGTCACATACACACGGACAGAAGAATTATACAATATATATTATATATGTATTATACATATAAACCTTTTCCTAGAGTCATTCTGTCTATTGATGGAAACCGTATTAAAATTCGTGACGTAGTTTAAAATATCTAAGCGTACAAACGTTGGGAACAGACTTCGTTTAATACAATGTAGAGATTTGAGTTGTTACGAGTTCCTGCTACCCAAATCCTGTTTTATTTCCATCTGACATCTCTTACACCCACGGGGCAGTGGATTTCTTACGCCTCCAATACTTTTTTTAAGTATCTTGTAATTTTAGTTTACTAATGTAACAGTTAGTCACTTCAATCTTGTAATTATTGTGGTAGAAGCGGATCGACGTTAGATTTAATTAACGACTTTTTAAGTCTGGTGTCTCTAATTTAGCCGTTAGGTTACTGTTGCTTTCAAAAATAATAAATCAAATAAAATGAAATAATAAAATAATTCTGTAAGTATTGCCTTGTTTAGGAATTAATAAAAATGAAGTTGGTTGCACACCAACTGCACATAAAAAAGCACTGGGAAATACAGGTAATATAATATATTTATATAAATAAATTTGTGCATATTAAATAATATATTTTCATCCTCGGTAATAAAAACAGCGGAATTGAGGTTTTTTGTCTGCTTTGTCACATCATAGGTCATTTTTAAGAACAAATGGTTCTGACATTCGCGTTCGAAATAAACGCGATTCAACAACTTTAATGCTTTGTCGACGCTATGCTATACATATTAATTTAATTGAATTATCTGCTGTATTATAGAAATAACTGACTTCTATTAAGTATTAAGACATCATCATCATTACTGCCCTTCACAAGTCCACTGCTGAACATAGGCGTCCCCCAAGGAATGCCACCAAAGCATGGTCCTGAGCCACATGTATCCATCGACTTCTTATTAAGACATACATAACCATTTTTAATTTTTTGTCTGTGTGTCTGGGCTAATCTTAGGAATGACTGAAATGATTGTGATGAAACTCTACGAACAGACAGAGAGCAATTCCAGAAGGGATCTAGGCTATATTGTATCAGGAAAACTATTTTTTTTGGAACGAAGTTCCTCATCGGACGGTACGGGCTTGGCGGATGGGAGCTAGACGACAAAAAGTGTAAGATTTGTTCGTCACTACCCCTTGTGTCATAGTGTATTTTATTTTAAATGACGCTTCATTTTAATAGACGCTAGTAATATATTTATCTGTATTTGTTAATTAATAATATAATACGTTTATCAATAATAAGATACTTCGTTCCAACTGAGTGTTTCACGACAAACACGCATGTTTTTTTTTGAAAAAAAAACGAATAATTGATAACGTAAATGGTGTTTGATGAATAACGTCACAATAATAGATCTTATCCAGGCAACGCCGGGGCGGGTCGCAAGTTAAGACATAAAAATAACCATTTTAAACGTCTGTCCGGACTAATCTTCGTCGTTTAAATAAATAAATAAGTAATCGATTTTACTATCTACCACGAAAATTAAACGGATTTTTTATTACATAACATTAAGAAAAAGCTGTGACATTTTTACCCTTTTGATACAATTTATACACATACTATATTTATATGAGAATATTTACTTTAGAACGTCCGTAGAGGTACAGCAGCAACCATATGAGTATGAGCAGAAGTTTAAATCATATCCTTCACTATAGTATTCCGTCTTCATCATCAATCCGTAAAAGTGCACTGCTGGATATGGGCCTTTCTCATTGTAGATAGGATTTGTATTAACAGTCACGCTTGGCAGCTGAATTAACCTGACCTGACCTTTACCTGACTCGCACCTTTGACGCTGCTTCCGGAAGCTGGTCTGGGTTTGTTGCGCTTGACGTAAACGAAATGGTTAAACCGCCATCTATCGGAAGCATTGTGGCTTCATCATTTCGGAATATCCCATAGACCATTTACGACAGCCTCGAGACGAAATGGAGCGATGGATTCCCTAACGTCGCCACAACACGGCAAATGTATTACGATTATTATTTATTAACAAAAATTTAAGCTAGAAATATTTTGGTTTTACAATGATCTATTTCAAGAGGTTCCCAAACTTTTAAAGTTCACGGTGCACTAACAGGTTTAGTATTTTGTCTCGGCGCCCTAGCTATTTGAAATAGGGTACAATGATACTAGGTAGAGTTAATAAACTACAAAGGCAAGTTAGTCAATATGACTTGTGAGCTTGGTGATCTCCACACATTTTTTTCAAAGCATGAGCGATATTTGCTCTTTATTACTGCTAAAGCTGAAAGTCCGATTTACATTGTACCCTCTAATACATACCTATGTTTAGTTTCCGGAGAATGGTAAACAGAAACGTCTCACGGCGCCCCTCTTTACTCTCTATGGCGCATCAGGGCGCCGCGGCGCACACTTTGGGGACTTCTGATCTTTTTTTTATAGGATAGGGTGATAAACGAGCACACAATCCAACTGATGGTAAGTGGTTGCTGTGACTAAATAAAGAATCAATAAAGAATCAAAGTGCAGATGCGTTGTCATCCGTAAGGACTAAGACGGAATGCCTCTTTTCCAGTAAAAAAAGATCTCCGCTTCTCTACACTCACCATACAAAACACAGCAGTGTTAAGCTGCTATTTTACGCTGGTATTCTGTGAGAGCGTGGTCCTTCCCCGGTCGAGCCGATCCATTCGTGCTACAACTATACTACTAATATAGCTGCAGCATGGCTCTACCACGTCGTAAATATCTTCAGCGATATTTTTGCTCTCTATTACAGCTACAGCTGAAAGTCCGATTTACTTTGTACCTGCTAATACATACATACCTATGTTTAGTTTCTGGAGATTGGTAAACAGAACGCATCATGGCGCCGCGGCTCACACTTTGGGAACCCCTGATCTATTGCTAAATTTTACATTTATATACCATTCTTTTATTGTCTTTAAAAATATTACTATGAAAATATTTGTACAAATCCTACAAATGAAAAATCCATTCATTTACAGGTATGTTACAGCTGTTCGTAATACGCGTTATATGGGAACTAAACTAGCGGATTTTATTCAATATATGGATTCGGTAGGTGCAAGAGCATCGTCACTTCATATTATAGGATTCTCGTTGGGTGCCGAAGCAGCCGGCTTTGCGGGGAAAATATTAAAAACGAGGGGCATACAAGTGGGTTGGATTACTGGTGAGTATGCTACTATAAATTACAAGAAGAGGACCATTAGAGCTATTTACAACCTAAAACCGAGAGAGTCTCTTAGAGATAAATTTAAAAAAATAATTATATCAACTTTGGCCTCTCAGTATATTTACGAAAATTTAATGTATGTTCATAAAAACAAAGGTAGTTTTAGTAAAAAAAAAGTGATATACATTCTAGGAACAAACACAAGCTAGTGATACCAGTTTCTCGACTGCATAGAGTCAGTAATTCATTCTTGCGGCAATGTATACGCTATTACAACAAGGTCCCGGAAAGTGTACAGGCTCTCTCTATTACCAAGTTTAAATGTTTTGTTAAGTTGAAACTGTATAAAAATGGTTATTATAGTATAAATGAATACATGGTTGATAATAGCCCCTGTGAATGAGGTGGTCACTTCCAAGCTTTTTCTAAAATAAATTTTGTACTTATATAGTTTGTACAACCATTAATGTAAAATTTGCTTTTAAAAAAAAAGTCCCGCTAGGTTTCTTGATGGTTCTTCCCAGGACAGAGGTTTTGTTCGAACCAGTGGTAAAGTAAAAACTGACTTTCAATAAGAATTACACATGTGATCTATATTGAATAAAAAATTATTCTATTCTATTCCACATTACATAACGTAAGCTTCCACGCCTGTTACCGAGTGGGGTAAGCAGAGCTCACGGACTTTTATTTTACACGATCCTGACACACCTCTCTTGCTTCGTTAACACCCATATACTCCTACCTACGCATACATGCTCCTTGGTTAAGTATACTCTTAAATGATATATGAATGAATGATGACTGGAAATGGGTGACTGGTTTACCATTACATTAGTGATTTAGGAGAGTACATTAGTAACACTCGAATGCGAGTGCTCGTCACAAAATAAAAACATTATATTTGATGATATCTTATATTTACGCGAAGACTACACATTAAAGGAAACTAATTTTTACGGAATATATCGCGTTTAATTTAACTTTTTAATTCCCGACGTTTCTGCCTTTTCCCGCTGCAAGACTTCAAGACACGGTAAGGTCATTCTGCGTAGATCGGACCAAAAATTGATATTTAAAAACTGACGGTAACTGGGCTATGACACATTGAGACGTCAAACACCTCAGTCCGTGACCGTGGTCCCCGTGACCATGGGTGCTGTAAAGCACTCGAAACGTCGGGAATTAAAAAGTTAAATTTAACGCGATATAATCCGTAATAAACTATAATTTAAAAATATTTTTTTGTACAACCGACTTCAATATTAATTATTAAGAATAACTCAAAAACTATTGGTCAAACCTTGATCAAATTTATATGGGACCACATGAGACGAACCAGCTTTTAGATAAAAAAAAGAATCATCGTAATCGGTTCACTCAGAAAAAAGTTATGAGGTAACACACATAAAAAAACATACAATCGAATTGAGTACCGTCTCGTTTTTGAAGTCGGTAGAAAAATAGTTTCATTTGATTCTATTTCTTTCTATAGTAGAATGACAAAAATCATATTAATGAATAGCATGAACTAATTAATTTTAATACTAATAATTATAATATTATGTTATTATCCACAAATTGTCTCTTATTTAGGGATGGAATCAAGTAACATTATAGAGTTGTACTTCACCATACATAAGATGTTTGAAGGTTTTTCTGCAAGGAGCGAGTAACTACCATTAAATCTACACAGAAAGCCCCATCCTGATCAGCCTACAAACAGGTCGTGAAGGAACACGGACTTCTTTCATTGTTAGATTTTTTTTTCACAAAATCTAAGTGTAATCGACACTTACCATACAGTACACATAATGGTACATGGCTACTGTAGCCCATGGACGCATACAACTAAATTTAAACAAGGAGACTACAGGTGCGTTATCATTTCTATAGACTGAAATGAATGAATCACAAACTGTAATACCGTTGTCGCTACTCTTGGCAGACGGACTCGCGATCTTAGTATCCGATGCATCACATCTTTGACTTTAATTTCTTTACCGATCTCAGTATTTTACAACTCGTATACATCGATCACTAATAAAAAACTGGATACACAATCCCATGCAATAGTTCTCTAAAAACTGTCGCTAATTGTTTTGACGTAATTCTAGTTGAAATAAATATAGGTACATTAATGTAAATTCAACCTTAAATGCAATGCCTAACGTTGTATCCTAAGTTTAAAAAAAAATTCAAAGCTACGTACAAATTAAAAGCGCACCCAAATGTTCGAGTGGGCGCTCATTCGGTAAGGACATTTTTTGTCACTGATCGTGTATCTAGTTTTTTATTAGTGATCAACGCTCGTATAATAATAATAATATATTTATTTGCTTAAAACGTGGTATGAAAAGGTTTTACAAATATTATACAATTGAACAACATGTTTTGCTACAGTTACATATAGCGTGCAAAGGTTTTGTTTTGTACATTAAGGGTTATGATTAAAAAGTCTATAATGCTTTAGAAATTATTCTTAGTTAGGTATTCTTGTAATTTAGATTTAAATAATCTAGTATTTAACATTTTTAGATTATTTGGTAACTTGTTATATATACGTACACACATAGATAGACAACTTTTATTATATTTACTTATTCTAGGTATGTTACTTAAAATGAGCTTGTATGGGTTTCGCCGGTTTCGAGGATTTGCATCATTTGCCGTGTTAAATAAATATTTATGCTTCCATACGATCATGCATATTTCATAAATATAAAGACACGGGAAAGGTAATAAGTAAAGTATTTTAAATACCTATTGACATGATTCAGTTGGTTTAAGCCCACATATTGCTCTGATGCATTTTTTTGTGCACTAAATGCTCTATTTTGATCTGTGCTTTCACCCCAAATTATAAGTCCATATTGACTCTACGTATGCATGGTAGGACAGAACAGCAGTTTTTATGTTTGTAACGTTTTTTAAATGTTTAAGGGCGTATGCAAACTTATTTAATCGCGTAGATACATCGTTTACATGCAATTTCCAATTTAAATTTTCGTCTATAGTTATTCCTAAGAATGTTTTATTGGTTACTACTTTTATTTTTGGTATGTTAAGATTAAAATTATATTTCTTATTATTACATTTATTGAATTGTATATATACAGATTTGTCAAGATTTATTTTCAAATTATTTATGTCAAGCCAATCTATTAAATTATCTATAGTATTATTTATGTCAGTCTCGTGGTCATTAATAGTATTACATTTTTTTTTTATAATAAAGATAACTAGATTTCGAGGTTGACGACACGTGCGATGTGAGAAATCGGAAATTAACTTCAAATGCTATTAAGACATGGCGAGATAAGAGACGCCAAAGAGAAATAATATCTGAAAAATTAAAGTAACAGGCTATATAGATCACACTGGCACAGGCCTCCCCTAATTTTTGAGACGGTTAAATTATCAAAATAGAATTTGTTTAATTAAATAATGTCAAAAAGACCAACAATTTTACAAGTTAAAAACACAGGTATAAAAGTGATACTTAGCGCTTTCTTTCGTGAACATTCAATAACTATAATATATAGGTACGCCATTATAAATCAACAGATTATAGATAAATTTACGGGATAATGGCTAAGTTTGGATGTGGCGCTAGGGCCGTGGGCGCTAACAACACACGCAACAATTTGTATGAACTACAAATAATAATTGCGAGTCTGGATGGTTGCCCAAGAGCAATCACGTGGTAGAGCCATGCTGCAGCTATATTAATTGTATAGTTTTAGCACGAATGGGTCGACTCGACCGAGGAAGGACCACGGTCTCACAGAATACCAACGTAAAATAGCAGCTTAATGCTACTGTGTTTTGCATGGTGAGTGTAGAGGGGAACGGGAAACCTTTTTTACTGGAAAAGAAGCATTCCATCTTAGTCCTCACGGATGGCAACGCATGTGCATTTTGATTCGCAAACAAGGATAGATGTAGATGTCTATGGGCCACAGCAACCACTTACCATCAGGTGGACTGTGTGCCCGCTTGTCACCTTTGTCCTATAAAAAATATTGTGAGTGTGTGTGTGTGTGTGTGTGTGTGTGTGTGTGTGTGTGTGTGTGTGTGTGTGTTTTAAGGGAAAAAAATCAATCTCTAACATTATGCTGTATTTAAGCTGGATATTAAATACAGCATGTTGATAGAGATTAAACCTATAATCTTAAAAAGAATAATTAACATTTAGAGGCAGGGTAAAAAGCATTACCATTATTAGCATCATTTTCCCCGAGGATTTACATAAACAGACAATTAATGTAAGATCCGATTTTATGATGCTCTGTTGTAAAAATATTACGATCCCCAGTAACAGCAACCCGATCAATTAAATTCTTTTAATTAATTGATCTTGATTAAATTGAGAGTTGTGAATAGCTCGTCGTTGGGTGCACGCCTTAAATTTAACAGTATACAAATGTTAATCATACTTTTCGTGCTGAATGAACGTGTGTTTGACGGCAAAGAAAAAAAATATTGTGAAAAAATCTGAATGTCTGAGAGATTACGAGGGCATTCGAAGTTCGAAGTTTCCAACATATGGGTGATGGCCACCAAAAGCGAAACAGATTTTTATCTTATTCTTATTTCGATTCCGTAAATGTTCGAGTATATTATCTCTATATATAAAAATCAATTGCTGTCCGTTAGTAAAACTCGAAAATGGCTCGACTGATTTTGATAAATTTTTTGTGTGTGTTTTAACGGGTGATGGAAATAGAACAGGATGTGTACAGCAGCAACTCGTAACAACTCAAATCTCTACATACATATAGTATAACACAAAGCCGCTTCCCGCCGTCTGTACGCTTAGATGTTTTAAATTACGTAACAAATTTTGATGCGGTTTTGATTAGTAGACAGAATGATTCAATATAAAGGTTTATATGTATAATAATATATGCATATTATATATTATATAATTCCTTTGTCCGTTTGTATGAGACGGAACTCCTAAACGGCTGTACCGATTTTGATGAAATTTTGTG